ATGAGATGCCAGAAAGATCAAGAGTTGGGGCGCAAATGCTAAGTCCAAGCCGGTATTATATTTGCAAGTTGAAGCCGAATAAGGAGTTTGAACCACACAGCTATGTGTCCCACACTTAGGACACATTGAGACAGCTTTTGCAGACGCTTCTCCCTCAAAGTCCAGCGCCCGTTTTCTGTGCGGCTTGTCCAACGCATACGTGCCAGGTGCTGGTGAATGAGAAGGCCTTGTGCCAAGCGCTGAGGAAGGCCATTGAGGACGTCTCGCCCATGGACACCATGAAGAACTGCCCCTTGCACATGGGGCGGGGTGCGGGGGGGGGGGGAACCCGACGTGGCTGGCTCCCGAAGTCAGGACGTCAAGTTCCCCTGACACGCTTGGCGTATTATCGATGGGCAGTAGCTGCAGCTTGCCCAGCCCTCAAGATTGGCAGAGTTATGGGCCTATAGGTACATTGCGCACTTTTCCAGCATGACCCAATTTCTCAATCTGAGGGCTCCTGAAGCCCCCGGAACTGTCAGGTCTCGGGCTTTGGAATCAATCCAAGGCGCCGACAGCCTTCTGGCCTTGGCAAGATGCTTTGAAGGGGCGAAGACCGCATTCCTTGACATCTCTCGGGAGGCACGTGCTGGCCGGCTCTCGGGTAGATGGTTCTGTGGCAAGTGGTGGCAAGGCGAGGCCTTGAGGAACCAAGCAAAACAAGCCAAGCCTGAGCAGTTTGTAGTGTTTTGTTGCAGGCATTCTAGTTGCATGACCCCCGCTTTCCTTCAGCCCACGCCAAGATGCCCACGGGTTTTTCTCAAGCTCCGAGTCCAGGTGCACCGCTCCTGCGCCAGCATCCTGGAAGACAAGCAGGTCAGGGAGCGCCTGGAGGAGCGGTTGGCTGGCTTTTCGGCTGGCTCAGAATGGAAGGCAGTGCCATCCAACTGGTCAAGCAAGGTCACACATTTTTCTCTGTTTCGGACGTGTTTCAAATGGTTGCGCTTCACACGTTTCTCTGTTTCAGACGTGTTTCAAACGGTTGCGCTTCAGTTATCGCTAACATTTCTCCATGAAGATCCCTCCCTCTTGCTGGAGGAGCTGCGGCCGGTGACCAGCCGCTTTCTGGTCCTGTCGAATCGGGGCATCGTTGGGTCCCCGGATGGCCAAAGCGTCCGTTTGTGCTGCCGTGCGAGCACAGTCACCAGCGCTGGCCTTGCCTTAGGGAGAGGTGAAGATCGACATCCGAGACCATTCATCATGGGGGCTGGGGGGGGGAGGGAGGGAGGGAGCCCAAATAAGCCCTAAATAAGGCCTTATTAAGGGCTTAGTTGGGCTCCCTCCCCCCCCCCCCAGCCCCCATGAATTCAGATACTCACCGAGTCTTCCCGGGGTGTCACGTCCGATGGGAGAGCCGGCGCCGAGGACGCGTCCTTCGGGTCCGTGGGCATGTTGCGGCGGATGCTGGCCCTGCTGCACGAGCGCTCGGCGTGGATGAAGGACCTGGGGGAGGGGGGCTGGCTGAGCCATTTAGGCGGGCCAAAGTGACCTTCATAACCAGAAGAGCCCACCTCATAGCTTCACCTTAAGCAAGTAGTTAGATCATCCGGGTGATTCAGGCGGCCATCCTCGGTCCCTTTGGTAAGGCCCTACGTGCTTATTAGGTTCTTTGGACAGATCCGAAGGTCCCGCGCTTGTTGCGCTTGCGCGCGAGAAGCAAATGCGCCAGGAGAGGAGGAAGCAGCTCGCAGAGGCCGCGAGGGGGGCGTGCGCTTCAAGACCGTGGCCTGATTCTGGTTTGTTTTCTGTCAATCGCATCATAGTTTGCGCGTGTAGGACATGAGGAAGGAATTGCCGATTGCAACAGCCCTTGCCATTCCATTCTTGGCAAAAAATTGGGATCCACAAAGAGGTGCACAAGGATCACTTGCCACCCAGGCGAGGGACGTCAAGGAAGAGCCCATGTCGCCTGCGCCGCCCACGAGGGGCCGAGGCCTGAACCCATTTTGGAGGTCTCAGCTTGAGGGAAGCCATGTCCCATGGCGCTTGATCCATGGACTGAACTGAAGCGTTTCAGTGGGGATGACCTGAGCTCATGGCCTTTGACACAGATGAAGCTGGTGGCCAACGAAAGAGGCGGCGAACACAGGCACGGATGGACACGCGAGATCCTGCTTACAGCTTGCTCCGATTCAGGGGAACGAGGGGAAGCGTTTTGTGCCGTTGCTTACAAGTAACGCGATTCCCACCCTTTGCTAGAGTGTTTTTCGACCAGTTGTCTCAGAGAAAGGTGTTCTTTTTGGTTTGTGAATTGCTTTTCGCCACCATCAGGTCTGTGTTCAATATCATTTGCTCCGTGTCAATCGGAGATGCAGTTGAGCGGTTCTGTTGGTGCACGTGGCAGGCGCGTCCAGAAGCGGTAGCAGACGTGCGCCGGGAGGCTCAAGACACCCGCTTTTCGTGAGCTAGGGGCGGTGCAGATCATGTTCAGCAATCCCGTTTGGTCTTCGTCAACAAATCTGGCAGGCTATTGGACGGCTTTTGCTTGGGTCTGTGTCAACTCGATTCAACCGCGAAATGGTGGGGCATAACCTATGGCGATCCTATTTTGGGGTGGAACATCCATTTGCCACCTATTTCGATGTTCACCAGGGGTACGATTTAGGTTTCGGCCCACAGCCGAATGAGGACGCCTCAGGCCGGGGGCCCGATACCAAAACCGCGGCCCGAGGGCTCGCCTTGCAGCTCCTGGAGGCGGCGGCGCTGTCGCTGATGTGGCACGCGCCGCGGCGGAGAGAAGCGGGGGCTTGGGGGGAGGCTGCCGCGTCTTGGGCCTTGGGTCTTGGCTGGGTCTTGGGTCTGGTGTGTGTTTCTTTCTTTGTTTTTTTTGGTAGAAACGAAAGGAGTGAAAAGGAAGCTAGGCAACGGGGGAAGACGGCATTTCTTGGAGCAAACACATTTGATCATTTTTTCTCCCGAACTAAACTGACACACTCGCTCCTGGACAGATTGGTTGTTGTCTTCTGGATGTGCTGGCATAAAGATACTCGGATTCGCTGACTGGGCAAGCCAGGGAATCCGCTTGTAGGCACCGCCGACAACATCAAAGTAAACGTGGCAAACAGATATGGCTGAAGACGTTTGCGTAGCGAGGTTGCTATTGGGGAAGATGCCTCGGTGGGAGACGCCTCGGATCATTCTCCGGTTTGCTTAAGGGGCGCTTAGGGTCCTGTGAGGTCCGCCCAGCCACTTGCATGCCTCAGTTGGTGCTCCGATTGGTCCCGAGGTTCGGACCACCTACTGGGTGCAATCGCAAGGCACCAGCCTGGGATTGTGGAGTCTTGGGGCCCATCTTCAGGCTCAGAGTCTTAGTTTGGACTAGGCCTGATAGATTTGGGAGCGTGTCTAGCGTCAAGGCACTTGTGCATCGCAGCGCGGCTACAGCCGTTTGACTCCACCAGACTCCCGCAATCAAGACTTTTGCACGCCGCTGAATCTTCGGGACTGGTTGCAGAGATTTGTTTGCAAATGAAGCGCATCACAAGGGACCCGAACAAGAGCTGGACCAAACAACACCTGACCACCCGGACTTCTCTCACACACATCCTGCATTCTCATCTGGGGAATGTGCTTGGATTTCGCAACAGGCAAATGTCAATTGGTTGCTTTGCGATTGCGAGGAAGGGCCAGCTGGGCTTGTAAGGGCTTTGGTGTGTGCCCCGAGCAAAAAGAGGGCAGCCAGGCAGCTCCGAGGAGGCCCGCAAAGCTGCCGAGAACCAGGCGCGCAGCTTGTGAATCTCAGCTATCTACATATGATAATTGAACGAACGTAAATAAATTTGTGGAGGCAACCATGACCATTCGCACCGCCGCGTTCGTGCTGGCTTCAGTGATCCTGTTTACTATGGTGTTTGCCTAGCGTTGGCTCAGGTAGCAGTGGCTCGGTTGGTTGGTTGGTTAGTTGGCTGGCACCTTTTGGCTATCTACTTGCTATCTATGTATTCATTTGAGAATCTGTCCAGCTGTCCAGAAAGCCATTTGTTCGGCCTGTCTTGTGTCTGGACTCGCATTCATGTGCGTGCTGACACTGAAGCCAAGCTTCGCAGATGTTCAGCTAACATCCTATCAATGCTTTTTGAGGACAGCCATCATTTCTCGCCTCGGACTGCAGCGCGTGAAGGCGCCTGCCACTTGGGACTTGAGGTTTATCCATCAAGCTGCCAACATTAGCACGGCGTGACCGCGTATCTCTTCTGGAGTTTTCCGGACTGATCGAGTTGCGCGAAGCAGCTGGAGTTGATGCCATAGTGGAGCTGAAGGCATCGCTTGCCCGTCCCAAATCCGATGGCCACCTTAGCAGCAAATGGACTCAGTTAAACTCAGATGTGATGTCCTTGCAGGGGTGTGAGGCCCAGGGGTCCCGCATGTGCCATGGAGCCAGGGGTTGAACAGCGCTTGATGCTGCTGGATAGACTTGGTGACTTGTAACGTCTAAAGGCTTATAATTTTACTGTTGAAACATCCGCCCACGGGCTTCGCCGGCTCTACTGGCGACCAGCTCGGATTTTCTGCCTCTCCCGCCGCTCTTGAAATAGTATCACGATACTGCACCAGCTTCTGGCTTTGTTGCCAAGGGCAGGGATGGCAGGAGGCGGTCAGTTTGTTGTGTGGTCGGCAGTTGGCTGGTTGGCAGACTGGGTGGCTGGTTGGTCGGTCGGTTGGTTGGTTGCTTGGCTGGTTGCTTAGTTTCTTGCTTGCTTGCTTGCTTGCTGGCTTGCTTGCTTGTTGGTTGGTTGGTTCGTTGGTTGGTTGGTTGGTCGGTCGGTCGATCGGTTTGTTGGTTGATTGGTTAGCTGGTTTGGCACAGTTTGTCACAGCAAACGGGTGTTGCAGGGTGTTGTTAATTTGAGGACAGTTTGGGGCTTTGGTAGGGCGGGCTTGGTCGGCTTATATGGCCGGGCTAGCTTATGTTGAGCTATGGGTTGGGGCTGTGTCAAGGTGAGTTTGTTGAAATTGGGCCGAGGGCTGGCTTGTTCCAGACTTAGGATGGTCAGGATGATGTAGATTTGCTTTCGCCTGGCTGTGTTGACGGTTTGCTGGTTTGGGGGCAGCACCATCAGAAAGCACTGGGAGCTGATGATAGGCAAAAAGCACCAACCGGCCGGGAAGAAGGCCAACAGCCGTCCGAGCAGCGCCCAGCGCCACGGGGGCCCGACACGTCGCAGGTTTCTGAGATGCTGCAGGGCTTCAGCGAGCTGCCTGGCGCCCCGGACGTGGTGTGACCGAAAGTTCGGAGAGAATGCTTTCAGTGATTCAGGGGCCATCGAAATGAACCCCTCGTCCCAAGGCCTGAGGCAGTGCTTGTCCAGTCTGCAAAAGGTGGCGGCGAGAACTGCTTGAGATGGGCCTTTTTTGGGGAGCCTTTTTTGCCTGCAGGATGCATGCTCTTGTTTTCTGAACTGCAATGTTGGATACGCCTTTTGATTCAAGGGCAAGTTCCGTTGCTCGACATATTTGGAGCCAACCGTAATTTCTGCAACTCTGTTGCTTCCAGCACGAGCCGTTCAACCGCAGCACCGCAAAACCAGCAGTCTGAGTTGTATGATTGCAGCATGCTCCTTGCAACAGCTAGAAAGACCACGTGTATTTCAGATTACAAGTATTCTTATTTTTCCAATGAGCCTCTGTGTTTCTTGATTTTTCCGCATGTTGTTTGTGATGTTGCATCGCTTTCACCTTTTTGGTGTCCTTTCGCTCCCCTCTCCCTGTCAATGGGATGGGCGGACCTAGGCCCTCGCTGCATGCGGAGCTCCCACGAATCATGGCGGAGGTGCGGGGCGCGTGCATGGAGCTGGGGCGCCCGAGAAGGGACCGTGGCCTCGACCATGCGGGCGATGGGTTGCTTTCCACTGCCCCTGGCTGCGGTCCTCGTGTTTTTTTTTTGAAGCTGTTCTTTTTTTGGCCGCCGCAGCTCTAGACCGGGGGATTCCCATTTCGAACAGGCCTCAGGCTGAACGCCAACAATCAGATCCCTGACAAGGTGTTTTCCACCTCTCTCTCGGGAGCAAGCTGGCTTCGATGCACTCAAAGCAGAGAAACCAAGCCCGAGGCAAGACGGCACAAGTGTGGAATGCCCAGAGACGACACTTAGGTTGATTGAGACTGACCTGAGCCCCTATGTCCAGTGCAGCGCTCAGATGGGCCCGGCTGGGGTATCTGCCCTGGCGAGTTCCATGATCTCTCATCGCAGTGAGAGTTGCTTCCACTGCTGGAGCATGTGCTATGCACCTCTCCTGCACAATCGACGTGTTTGCCCTGGCATGTTCTGTGGTCTTACACATCGCAGTGGGAGGTTGCCACACCCCACAGCCCATGTCATTCTCGCCATGAAGGGTCGACTCGACCCGCTCCACTGGAGGTACCATGCCTTCTCCGCATACATGTCCTGCTGGCCTGGCTTGGAGTCTTAGAGGGGCTGGCCTGCGCAAGGGTCGCAGTGTTTTGTCGATCTTCAGGCAGGAGCTTCGGGGAATGAGCGTCTCGTGTTGTTCCAGTGTTTTGTAGAATGTTGAGCAAGCTATACCAAATGCCATTTGATGGAACAGCAGCTTCGGCTGAAGTATTGCTAGGTGAGCGAATCGAGTGAAGGCAGCAGTACAAACCCCATGTTCATTGATGTCATCTAATAATTGGCTTTCAAGAGCCCTGTAACCTGTACCTTTCGGGTAAATGATCCGTCTGGCTGCTAACCACATGTCGGCCTTGTAACTCAAGCTTTGCCCAGAGATTGGATTCATTGGACGTGTCACGTGGTGCGTACCAGCGCGTCAGAGCTCTCAAGACGAAGGCCGACAGGTCCAGAGCAAGCTGCCAGGACGCTTTTGCAGCTCAGCGTGGGTGTGAGCGAGACCTTGAGTCGCAAGCCCAGAAATAGTTCTGATACACCCGTGAGCAAGGGACCCGTGAAAGGTCCCCAATGTGACCATTCAGATTGAGGAATAGAAGCGGGCCTCGGAGATGTTCGGCTTCATGATTCGATCTGACATTCAGCCAGTGTCCAAAGTGTCCACGGCCATCTTGTCTTCTTGGAACCTGGGGACAGTTCCGTTGGATCTGCCAGTTGGCTCTCTTGCACCAGGCTTCTCGTCACCTTGTGCCCTAGATGTCAATTCCCTCATTGCCTTTCAACGCTTTCCAGCCATCGAAGGCTTGGAGTTGGTGGACGGCCGACCGGCGCGGGGCTTATCCAGGGTGTTCGAAGTTTTCAGGGTTGACACAGAAGAGTTGCAGCTGTGTGGGGTTTACAGATGTTTTGAGCCCGTCACATTTGTTGCAGGCAACGCGCTTTGGGGGTCAAGAATCAGGCCCCAATATTTCAGTTCCCACAGCGCAGCCAAGTGAAAGTCCCCCCCCCCCCCCCCGCAACGGCCAGTTTGCTTCGAGCTGATTGCCTCCTAAAGCTCCTTGACATTTCCATGCGACGCACCAACTCCAAAAACGCAAGGAATCACTTTGGAGCTTTGCTCTAGGCGCCACCCACTGGCTGGGGCGCTACCTTCGAGGTGCCTGTGCTGATTTCCATTGCAAGAGAACATTTGACAGACGCTTTGACGCGGGTCTGGGCACGAGGGGCTTAATGTTTGCATTCGCGACATTCTGGACTTGTAGACTCACCTGTAGGCAGACTAAACGACGAGGGGCTAGAAGTGCCAAACGACGGCCTCAAAGCATCTGGTCGAAGCGGTCAGGTGAAGGTTCCCAAGGGCCATATGGAGGCAAGGAGGGCAGTGCCACGTATCGAGAATTGAGCTGCTTCGTTTCATGCCTTGGCTTGGGGCACTTTAGCAAGTGCGTCAACGCTCTGCTGACCGTTCATGGGATGGGCTGGGCATGACGCTCTTCGGCTCAGCTTGTCGCTTTAGCTTGTTTGTCGTGTTCTTTGTACAGATATAGCATTTCGTAGGGATGCAATGCCCGGACTCTTACGGGGCCAATCCGGCCCACCATGGTACCATCGTTTGAAGCCAGGCAGACATGTGTGTACGGGGGTGGTGCAACCCAGGGCTCAAGACTCCTCCCTCTGCAGGTCTTGTACAAATATCTCAACAAGCTCTACGTCAAGGTCACCGATTCCGAGGTGGAAGGCTGCCAGTCTTGCCGGGTGTTTCTGTTGGTATCTTTTGGCCATGTGACACATTCGGGTCTTGAACATGCAGTGGCCCTTGCGTTTGCCAGAGAGACGCAGGGTGGGTTGAAAGCCGCATCTCAAAGGCGCGTGCAGTATCCATGCCTTTCCATACCGACATGATGCACAAACCATGCTAATATTCACATTCCAAGGCAGCCGCAAACCAGTGGATCCTTGTTTCTAACTATTTCAGGGATAATCTGCTTGAGTCTCTTTCGCAGGAGGATCTGCTGCCTTCGGGCTGGGATGTCCGTCCCTTGCCAAACGCTCTGCGCACTTTTTGCAGATTGGAGAAGTGAACACACCCCAGCCGCCAACATGCGAGCATTGGAACGATTGATTGTTAGGCGCAAGGCTGGAGCGCAGTGTTTCCCATGACATCCTGGCACTTTGAGCCCTTGTGTTGCACTCCACGAAGGTCCGAGCGGCCCCTTCCAAGTGTAAGCTTCACCTCCGGCAGCTTCCGACTAAACCTGAGAAGTCATCAAACAGATGAGACATTCATGGGGACTCGCCAAGAATGGTTTTTGGTTTTCCAAGGTGCCAGCAAGAAAGCGGCCACCTTCGGAAAGCCCGACGGAGTTTTTTTTCTTCATCTAGAAATGACCTGTCCAGATGTTGCTCTGTGGTGGCTTCCCGTGGGCATTTTGTAAAGTTCACCAAAGGGTCGTGTTGGGCACAGCACAAGCAAGTCCTTGGTAGGTGGGCCTAGAGGAAGTAAGCGTGAGTGCTGGTCTTCCCGATGATCTCAAGCCCAGACACAAGCATCTAGGAGGCGGGCGAGCCAAAGGGCCCAGTCTGCCGCTCTCAAGACAGTGGCCCGCTGGCCCTCGCCGCCAGGCGTTACCTTCAACGGCGAGGGCCACCGCGTGCAACCCTCCAGCCCGGAGAGCCAGTTCTTAAAGATGTCAGGGCGTGGTTTGGCACAGAGGATTGGCCGTGTCTTCAGTTTGGGCCTGTCTTGCTGCTGCTTGATGTGGGCTTGCAGCGGGTATCTTGTCGGTGCTCCCCATCTGAGCCCTTTCTCAGGATCCGTTGCAATTTGCCTCGTCAAACCGCAATTCGGCACTTGTCAGTTGTTTCATTGTTTCATTTGTTTCTATTTTCTCTTTTTGCATAAGTTGTCAGCGGAACCTTATGAGTGCGGCTGAATTATGCAGAGTGGGCCTGGAGTGTTTTCTGGGCAGACTTGGCTTTGCATGTCCCGCGGCCGCCATGTCTCAAGTGCCCAACACTGAGCTGCAGATCTTCCCCGTCCTCTTCCACCATGACCAGCCTTGCAGCTTGGCTGCGAAACACGCACAGAGGGCTGAAGCAGTCCCTGGAATGGTTTGATTCTTCTGACCGTCCCCTCAGTGCTTTTGGGCCACCGGGACAGTTCATGTTCTCTGTTTGTGTAGAGTTGTTGGTGTATTCCTGTCAAAGTTCTTTCTCTGCATGCGGTCAGAGGAAGACAGGCTGATCCCTCGCTGGCCTTTTCATTGAGTTCAGAGGGAGGCCAAGATTTCGCGGCCAGACTCCGACTTTCGGTAAGGAGCAGCCCAAGAAGCCTGTGGGCGGCGCCTTCGGCGTCTTCGCCGCGGAGCAGCGGCCCAAGTTCCAGGCGCAGTGCGCTGGGCGCCCGGCCAGTGAGGCGGGGGCCTGGAGCTGGCCGGAACGGGCCACGGATTCCATGGCTTCCACAGCTGCCATAGCCGCCATAGCTACAGAGTTGCAGAGTTGCAGATTTAGAGAACTGACAGGTTTGCAGAGGTTGGTTTTGGAGAGGCTGGAGATGCAACTGCTCGATTTTTGTGGTCGCCCCGGAGGTGTCGAAGCTGGCAGGGGAGGCTTGGAAGAAGCTCGGGGAGGACGAGAGGGCCAAGTACCAGGCAGGATAGTAGCTGGAGTTGTGCTGTACAGCAGTTGCGTGTATGCTTCAATTGTGATGGCACTAAGTTGGCCAACATGCGCCTGAGCTGTGCAATGCCAGAAAATAGCCTAGAAACAAATGTTTGTCATCCTAGCTGCACATCACGTTTATGTCGGGACATGTGTCTTTGCTCGCTCGGTTTGCCGTTCAGCATCATATTCGACCGCGAAGACCTATTGTGCGTGACAAGCTTGTCACCTTGTGCATGTTGCGCCGCACATATCACCGGCTCCTGTTGAGAGACAGAGCTGAGTGAGATAGAGAGTGAGAAAGAGAGACGGCAAGAGACGGATAAAGAAGAAGATGAAGAGAAAAAGATAGAGAGAGAGAGAGAGAGAGCGCGAGCGAGAGCGAGAGCGAGAGCGAGAGAGTATTTCAGCGGTGCCCGCAGGCAAAGTACGAGGAGGCCAAGACACAGTTCGACCAGAAGATGGCTGACTTCAAGTCCAAAGGGGGCGAGGTGGCCCCGATTGTGCGCAAGAGCCGCCCGGCCCCGCCGCCCTTTTTAGCCACAGCACCCAATGTATGCGGTTGGGAACATTTTGGAACAGAAAGCCGCTTGGTGTGTGTATATATATATATATGTTTTATTGTGTGTGTGTGTGCGCGCCTGGGTTGTCTGTTGCGTTTTGTGTGTTTGTGTGTGGTACAACTTTGCTGGGTTCTGTGCCGCAAACAAGATCTTCCAAATGAATCCATCAAGGTTACGGGAAGGCTGGGTTTTGCTCCGCTCTGAACCTTGCTGCTTGTTGGGCGTGTGTTGGCTGCATGAGTTGCCACAACAGATACTTAGTTCATAGAGACAAATCTTGTGCCCATTGTGCAACCATGAGGGCCAGCCAATGGTTGCGCAGTGGATGCTTTGCAGGGCTGAGTTTTTGCTTCCGAGGTTTGTATTGAACTTATTCGTTAATCCGCCCCCCCCATCCCTGAGACGCGGCAGTTGTTGGAGTTTGTGCCCTTGAGGCAGTGGGATTGCGGCACTGAGGCAAGGGCAAGCGCGTGAAAGACGAGAACGCGCCCAAGCGCCCTGTGGGGGGTGCCTATGGCATCTTTCTGGCCGAGAACCGGGACGACGTGCGGCGGTCCCTTCCTGACGGCAACAAGGCCTAGCGACCGGCATGAATTGCAGCATAAGTCTCAGCGGTCACCAATCATCAATGTCAAAGCCCGTCAAAACGTCTTTGACATGGTATGTAATGTGGGCAGCGCCCAAGCCCCTGTTGTCCAGATCTCGCTTGCGAATGTGTGGAGGAGGTGGTTCTCCCGAGTTCTCCCGAGTTCTCCCGAGTTCTCCCGAGTTCTCCCTGCTTTGTTTGTCAGCAAGCTTGTTCAGACACCTGGCAAAGTGGATCAATTTGAGCCATGACCATGCGAAAGGTGACGGCAGTGACGAAGGCTGTGAGTGGGAGGTGGAAGGCGTTGCCGGATGAGGAGAAGAAGCCTTATGAGGAGCTGGGGCGGGCACGGGACATGGGCGCAGTCATCAAAGACGTGAGTGTGTCCTAGGAGCTCTCCCCCCCCCACAACGTTGCAATCGGCAATTTTGTTTTCAGGACACCCTCAATGTGTTGTTTGCGGTCTTTTTTTAGCTACGTGGATTGCGTGCGTACATGCTAGTTGTAGCAACCCCTCGTTTGCCTTTTAGAGTTTGGTGCCCTCAGGAACCTCTCAGCTAACTTGAGGATTCGGACACTGCTCGCAAACCGATCCATGCCGCTTTCATAGGCTGCTTGCGACTTGCAAGGGCTTCTGGATTTGGGTGGGAGACTTGCTAGGAGAAGTTCCAGAAGAAGATGGCGGAGTACAAGGCGGCCATGGAGGACGGGACAAGTCGCAAGTTTTCAAAAATCGCTTCGTTTTGCTCATGCGACCGGACTGCGACTCAGAAATCTTTGTTTTCCCGTTTTCGGCGCGCCTGAACTTGAGAGCCCTGGTTGGTGACTAAAGGAAGCCTAAGGGTGAGCGAATCAGTGATCGGATGCAATCCTTTGCAGTGAGGAGTACAAAGCAGCTCAGGGCACGGAGGTAGAGGAAGAGAAGCCTGCGCCAAAGAAGGCGCGCAAGGCTGGGGCCTAGTCCTTCGACTGGCCGATGGGGGTGCTATGGATTTCCGGCGCCCCTATTGGGGGATGGCTGCGATGGACAGCGAGCTTAAGGGAGGTCCCGCTGTCCTGTCGCGGGGGTTCTTGAGCTGCCGAGCAGCCGGGAGGAAAAAGGGCCCGATCTACGCGCACGGGGCGGGGGCAGTCGAGTGCCACCGGATCACCTTGATACGATCCGCCCCATGGTTCAGTGTAGCTGTGGTGCTGGCTGTTGGATCTTGACGGCTTCCAGTAGAGTCTCCTAGCAGGTCAACTCTCTGACAATAGCGCCCCGCACATGGGCCCCGAGGCATCTTCCCCGCGCCGTCGCAGAACACCATGACCTCGGAGCGGGAACCCAGAAGGATCCAAAATGGATTCAGAGTTGCGGAGGTGGAGGTCGCGTCAGGTTTGAGCAACACCAATCAGTCGGGTTCCCCTCGTTTGCCTGTAATGAGACGCACGGAGGTGGCCCCAGTTTACGCGCGTTGCTACCCAGATGTCTCGATCCATGTTGTATGCTGATATGTGCCAAGTGCACCTCTCCACCATGAATCAGAAGGAAGGGTTGCCCACAAGATGAAGAAGGTGTAACGACCCTCCGTTGACCTTTGGTCTGCAAGGCTTGTGCAATGTCCCGCTGTTGGATGTTGATTCGTATCCCAGTAGTTGTGGGCCCGAAGCTGCCACTGGTGGGTTTGGTCAACACGACAGGCTGGCATCGGCTTGGGCAATTCTTTGGCAATGCCTATCAATTCACGAAGCATTCAGCTGGCTTTGTGTTTGGAACATCTTAGGCCTGCACTCTTGGCACAGTTCCGGACAACCAGAGCAGCCTGCTTCCCATCCAATCAAATGCACCACAGGCAGCCGCTGCTTGATGACATCCTGGGACAGAACATAGGGCAGCTTGCATCTTCTGCGGATTCCTTGAATACTAAGTATGGCTAGGTATGGTACCCTGGAGAAGCGGGTCTCAACACAGCCTTTTTTTCTTGGGGCTCGCTTGAGAGAGGTGCGGCACCTCGCCCTCCGCACCATGGAGGCGCCTGGCAACGACCCGGAGGCACCATGAGTTGAAGTTGAGGCTTGGCACAGGTAGCATGAAGTGTGTACATACACAGACTGGCACACATATTGACATGCATGCCACGCGTGCGTACATATGTATAATATGAGAATTCATATGACAATGATTATTGTTGCTATCATTGTTACTATTGTTAACGCTTATTGTTCGCAGCAAGTCCATCCAGCCTATGGGCTCGTAGAGCACGCGAGTGTGGAGCAGTCAGTTGTGTGCACACAGCTGGGAAGCGCCCAGCGACGTGTCGACCAGGTCTCCAACCTGATTCAGCCACTGGAGCCGGCGGACGAGCTGCTGCTTGCAGTGCCCTTGGGGCCGCGTCTTTGGTTGACACTCGACAGTAAAGGCGAGCATGAAAGACGCACCCACTCTCAACGTGAGCGCTCGACAGCCAGCACTTCCTTTTCCCCGATCAAGAAGATGTTGCAGGTTGTTGTTCTTCCGTGATTGATGGCCTTGTGACTCTTTTCGAACCAAACAAACCGGACGGAGTTCAGACCTTCCAGGTATTGGCATCCAGGTCCATCTTGGAGAGCGAGCTCCAGGCTGGCGCAAGAGATTCGGATTCTTTTGGTTTCCCATTCAAAGCTTCCAATTCCCCAAATGGAGAGACACTGAGAGCCTGTTCCCCCCATTTTCGCCGTCTGCGCGAGAAACGAATGACTCGGCACTGTTCCCAAGCTTGAAGTGACTTACCACAATCTCTCAAGCATAAAGGACATTCCCGCTGAAATCACAAAGGCATCACAACATTCCATGAAAGCATATTCATTCTTAATACAGCAGGCTCGCTGCAGGGACACAGCAAGTATTTTTTTTTTGCCAAGAAGGGCCAAGCCAAGCTGCACCGCTTTGCTCGGCATAAGCATGCGTCCACCACAGTCTGTTTCATCGATTTGCTTGATCACGGATACAACTGCATGCCACCAGCCAGGATGGCAAACTTATCTACTACCGCAAAATGGGACTGACCTGGTGACCTGTGCCATTCATTGACCCCTTCGTGGGAACTTGGGCAAAGCTTCTCAGGGTCAGGGCTATGCCGAGAAGCAAGCCATGCCCCCCCGGCCAGGATATCTACACGGGTCCCTTGGGGTTGCTGCTGCTCACACAGTGCGAGAAGGCCGACTCGGCGGGAAGGAAAGGAGTCTTCACAGTGCGTCCCGAAACCACGCCTCCGAACGTCGATTCCGACTGCCGCAAGTGCTTTTGTGGTCAGGAAGCAACATGTTCCAGGGGGGGTCCTGCTTTTTGAGATTGGCCTGTGTACTTCGGGTGAGATGCCAGGGATGAGGCACTTGGAGTGCCTGCTCAAGGGCCTCGGAGTCGGAGGGAGCCATGTTTGAAAAATCTCGGGCCTGGGAACCATCCGCCAAGAAAAAAGCAAGATGGCGGAAACGCGGCTGAGTTGCCCGGGTTTGGAACTGTGATTTCGTTATCACCACAAACCCTGGGCGCGGCCGCTTGGATTTTCGTCAGGCCAGACCCAAGGCCCTAAAGGAGGCGCAGGCCTCAGGTGCGCAGTCCGTTTCCTTGAAGTTTCTTCGTTTTTGAGCTCCGCGAAGGGAGAAGCGCCATCAGGATTGCTCCGGATTTGGGGGGGGTCCTCCAGACACTGTGGTTTCACGAGCAGTGTCTCAGTCAAGACTTGATCTTCCATCTTGCAGTTCGAGTGCTTGTAGCTCAGTGCCCTTGGGCCAAAGGAGGAGTGATGACTCCTCGACATCCTATCCACTTATTTTCTCCAGAATGCGCATGAATTGTGCAACATCGCGGCCACGTGGCCCTTCCAATCATGTTTGGGCCCAACCAGCTAACTCTTCAGATGAAAACGGCCATGACCACATGATTCTGTGATTCCCTGCGTTCAACCATCCCGATGTTGGTCACAGCTTCGAGCCTGCCACCTTTCTGCTACTCTGTTAGAGGACAGAGGCATGTAGTGTCCGTTGTGCTAGGTGGCCGAAGCCATTTTCGCTTCCCTGCTGCCATCCAAGTGCATGGTAGGGTCGGCGGCCGCTTGGCGCCCGGGAATTCGGATCGCAGGAAATGAGCAAGACAGTGAGCAACCCAGCATCCACACGGCGGCCAGCCAAGCCAACGAAAACCTGGGTCAGCTATTGTTGTTGTATTGGTCAGATGTTTCAGCAGCATCACTTCGAACTAGCAAGAGCGCTTGGCTTACGCAGTCTCAAATCTCACTGCAGCTTTCAGCAACTCATCAGCCGCCAACTTGCTGCCAGCTTCGCGCGAGCGCTGCTCCGGCAAACGGTCCTTTTGGACATGGAGGCTAAGACGTGCAGGGTTCAGCTTCCTCACTGGGGGAACGCACAATGTGCTCTTTTGCCATAAGAAGGGCAGCAAAGGGGCTGGCCTTCATTTGTTTTCACTTTGATGGACGATTGACAAGGGGCAGCCGCGTGTTGTTTCAGAATCTTGCCTTTGATCACCAAAAAAAAAACACAAATGCAGTGTCGCCTGCGACGAGTGGCAGTCTTTTGCATCACATTGTTGGATGTACAAATGAGAGGACTGTTAGTTTTGTTAGCTATGGTACATTTTGCCTGCAAATCATATCGTATCCGACATGATCGTCAATCTGCCTCCTGTTTCGAGCAGCAGACCGGGCGGGAGTTTGACCATTGCTCATTTGCTTGGCTTACAAGTCACGGACGGTTCAATCATTTCACGCAGGCATTGACCTTCTTCTGCCCAAGCTTTTGACGGACCGGTCGTGCGAGTGTGAGTGAATGAGCGACCATAGAACATCTAAGCGCCCAAGCCGGCTTAGAAGTGCAGAGGGCTCTGTGCGTGGTCTGTGCTTGTGCTTGGTATTCACAACAACAGTGCAGATCCTGAAATGGTTGGCAGCCCATCGGTGCTTCTTCCGCTGCTGAAACTGCCACAAAGTTGATTTGGAGGACTCCAGTTGATGAGCATTCCTTTTCCGCTGTCCACACGTTGGGATCACTCAGGCTCGCAGGCCAAGCTTGAAACAACGAGTGCTTCCACAACAAGGGCATGCATTGCATGCGGTTCCTTGCAGTGTGAGCCAGAAGCAGCAAGAAGCAAATGCCGCCATGCATGCGACACCTGCAGCTTAGGTTGCTTGTGGCTGCGAGAAGGTCCGGGGTTAAACGTGGCAGGCGGCCCCCAAGCACCTGGACCCCCGGGCAGTCTTCCGGGCAGCCCTCTTCATCCAGGCAGACCTGCAAAAAGGAACGGGAGCCCGAAAGGTGACGAGGCTGCCCTTAGGTTTGGGCGAATCCCAAATCGCCTTTTTGCAGCCAGGTGAGAGTGGCGTGTTGTTTGTTCCAACAAGGGGTAGTTCTCACTTAGGCGCACCGCTGGCCATTGCCACTTGCTCAGGGATTTTGCAGGAAAGGGCGACTTGCCGCAGAGAGTTCAACAAGTCAGCATGTCAGGTCTTGGACATATTTGCTTCTTGTGTTGCAAGCATTTGTCAGTGGGCATCAGTTTCTTCTAGAATATTTTTTATTTGCTGGCGAGAGCATGGACGTGACTGTTTTGGGGGGTTCGAAGCAAAGTAAAGTGTCTCTTCAGATCTTCGAATCAGTTCCCTTGCGACCCAACTCCCTCGGTCTGTGGCACTCCGTCGATTTGTAGCCCCGTCAGACGGCCTTCCGGCGATGGCAGCTGGAGGATCCGCGGAGGCGGGAGTGGTCGTGCAAGGTTCAACGGGCTCCATGGGTGCCATGGTCAAAACACTGCCTCACCTGAGGGTGTGTGTCTCTTGACAGGAACGGGTGTGGTCAAAACACCGCCTTGCGTGGTGTCGGAGCTGGTCGTGAGCCCTAGTCCATAGGACTACAGGGAGATTGACCTTGAAACGGCGATGGGGCTCGTTCCTGGAGCGAAATCCCAGCATATGTGGTCAGCTCTGCATGGTTGCTTCTTTGCTTCTTTGCTTCTTTGCGGCCCCGGGACCAGGACTCGCACGAGCTGCTTCTAAACTCTGCAGGTTTTCCTTGTCGGTCATTTTGAACATTTGAGTCTCTGAGTTGCCATATAAGGTGCGAGTTGTGCACAGGGTGTCCGTCTCGGCACCGTCTGGGAGAGGAGGCCACTTCCAGGCTACTTGTCCAGTTTCAGCCACGGATTAAACCACGGTCTCCTCTGGTGGAGATATTGTTTGGCGATGGCCGGTGCTCCTTTGGCCCTTTCAAGGATCATGCTCCTGATCTCTCCGAGTTTGCCTTGCCAATGAGGCAGCACTATGGAATAATGTCAAGGACGCACATGCCACATTTAACACTTTGAAAGCCAGTTCTTTTCCTTGGTTCATAGAAGCTAATCATGTGATGGCAATTCGAGGATGCTGCCTGCCTGCTTTGCGGATCTTTGTGGTAGAGAACACCTGACGAGACAATTTCTCCCGCAGTACCCAGTGCGCTTACGACACAGGGAAATCCATGTCTCACATGTGGGCGCTTGCAACGTGTGTTTTCTTGACCAGAAAGGCAGGCAACCCTTGGCGCTGCGTTTTTTTTTTTTTTTTGCCTTGGCCGAGGTCCTGTTCCCCCCAATAACCAAGTGGTCTTTCATTTCATGCTTTTTGGGTGGCCCTCAGACCCTCAAACCCTCAAGCCCTCAAACTCTCAGACCGTCTTCCTCTCCCTTTTGGATTTGGGGGGGCTAGTGGCGTCCGCCGAATCCGCCGTGTGCTTCGGGTTTCCAGGCTGCTGGGCATCGACGCGCCGGTGCCCTCGCCCGCGCTGAAGGTGGCGCTCACCTGGAAGCAGCGGATGTGCCGCCCGGAGACGGTGGACCTCCAGGCGGAGGCGCCGCGCTTGCTGGGCGTTGAGTCAGTCGGACGTCGACTTGGGGAGGTTTTGATGTCCACCAGGGTACAGGGCTTTGACCCGCAGCCATGTGAGGTATGACGCGGGGAGGGGGGGGGGGGGAGGGGGGTTGAGGATGGAAGATACTTGGAAGGGTGGGATGAGGGGGGGACCGGTTCTTGTTTGGCAAGGGCAGGGTAAGGGTGGAAAGTTCGAAAGTTCAACCAGTGTTCAGACTTGCAAACCGCAGTTCAAGCCCGTGAAGTTTTTGGCTGACTCAGAAAGGGGGCGGAAAAGGAAGCGAGACGAGGCAATAATAAGCAAGAAGTTGTGATTTGACTGGCTTATACCTCTTAACATGTTTGTTGATCGTGCTGATCGGGGTGCTGTCTCATGTGCGCACGTAAAGTCATCCGCCATCCTCGGATGAGAGGAAAGCTGTCTACCAATTTCGCTTCCTGTCAGTTTCCACGTTTGTTTGACAAAGGTGAGTCTAATGAGAGTTCTAGTCTACTGAAGAGTGTATCAGACCCTCCAAATGGTTTGCTTCATGTTCCCTCCTTAAACCAGTGCCCAAGTGTGCATCGCTGTTTTCGGCACTGCCATTTCTGGGCTTTGCACCCATCGCATGGGTTATACGCCCCATGAAGGTTTGGGATGATGGGTCGGCCAACGGAGGCAATGGCCGCCACGGCCGTGATTTGCGGCCGCAACCGGGGCCTCACGCGGGGGCCCCACTGCGTCTATTCTTCAGGGTTTCGAAAACTCCAGATTCTTGCTGCTCATTACACACGACTATTCGCTCGTTCTGCGAGTGGCTGTTTCTGTGTGGATGCTGCGGTCGGCATCCAACAAAGACGCCACAGACATCCTGTGAAGTGGATCGAGGATGCTCAATGCACCGTTTTTTTTTCCCCCATTTATTTTCTCCGTTTTAGACTTTTTGACCTAAGACATCTCTTAGCGTGTGTCTGGGTGCGTGCGTGCGTGCGTGCGTGTGTGCGTGCGTGCGTGTGTGCGTGCGTGCGTGCGTGCGTGTGTGCGTGTGTGCGTGCGAGCGTGCGTGCGTGTGTGCGTACGTGTGTGCGTGTGTGCTTGTGTGCGCGTGTGCGTGTGCGTGTGCGTGTGCGTGTGCGTGTGTGTGTGTGTGTGTGTGTGTGTGTGTGTGTGTGTGTGTGTGTGTGTGTGTGTGTGTGTGTGTGTGTGTGTGTGTGTGTGTGTGTGTGTGCGTGCGTGCGTGCGTGCGTGTGCGTGCGCGTGCGTGCGTGCGTGCGTGCGTGCGTGCGTGCGTGCGTGCGTGCGTGCGTGCGCGTGTGCGTGTGCGTGTGCGTGTGCGTGTGCGTGCGTGCGTGCGTGCGTGCGTGCGTGCGTGCGTGCGTGCGTGCGAGCGTGTGTCTCTGTGTGTCTCTGTGTGTGTCTCTGTGTGTGTCTCTGTGTGTGTCTCTGTGTGTGTCTCTGTGTGTGTCTCTGTGTGTGTCTCTGTGTGTGTCTGTGTGTCCGTCTCTGTGTGTCTCTGTGTGTCTCTGTGTGTGTGTGTGTTTGTGTGTCTGTGTGTCTGTGTGTTTGTGTGTCTGTGTCTGTGTCTGTGTCTGTGTCTGTGTCTGTGTCTGTGTCAGTGTCAGTGTCTGTGTCTGTGTGTCCGTCTCTGTGTGTCTCTGTGTGTCTCTGTGTGTGTTTGTGTGTCTGTGTGTCTGTGTGTTT